AGCTTCTTATGCAAGTCCACAGAGAACTTCACTGCAATGATGGACAGCCATCAGGAACCGTAGAGAAATAGGGATTGCGTCTTACATAAAGTGAGTTATCTTTAAATTTTAACTACAGAGAGATTCAATTTCTATAAAAACTTTTAGAATGTGTGTGATGAAGCTGACTTAACAAATAATGTTACAACAGAGGGTAGAAGTATAAAACAAAAGTGATATTTTTAAAGTAAAATGTGTCATTGCTTAATGAAATTTCACCCCCAAAAGGAAACTAATGATTTCTTTGATGATAGGTCTGCTTTCCCATTTTATGCATTGGGAAATATTGTAAAGGAATTTAGACTATTATTTGGGTGAGTCATTTGATGCAATGTAAAGCGCAAGAGTTAGAATACCATAGATCTATGTGAGAAGCAACACCAACAAAGACAGCGTGATTTTTTTTAAGCCCAGCAACCTAATTTTCTCAACTAGAATGGCTTATTGTGTGGTGCTCTGCAAGCTCTTTTGTTGAACACTTGAGTATTTAAGAAATGTGTGTATAATACTCCACACATAAGTAATAAACAGAAACTGTGGCATCTAAGGGGGAAACTTGGATGTGAACATGGGCACAGAAGTGTGGATTATACATGTTTTAAAATTTACCAGATTGAGTATGTTAAACATATACACTTCATTGTACAGTTAGAATTTTTTTTTTTATCTTAGGGAAGGGTCTACAGGGTGTTCAAGACCTCCCTACTAGATCGGACTCATAGTGATTCATCTGTTTACAGCCACCCAAGAGCTGGGATTACAGGTGCGCACCCCCCCCCACAGTCTCAATTGCCATCTCAGCATACCCCATAGGCGGGGCCCGCACAGCAGGCCCAGGGATGGAAGCCCCAGCTCCTGCATCTGCTTGCAGGCACTTTAATTCACTGAGGTATTGGGCTGGCCTGAAAATCTTTTTTTTTTTTTAATCCTTTATTTTAAATGTATTTAGCACAGGGTCTACAGGGTCTCACTACACAGATCAGACTTTTAGTGATCCTATTTTCAGCCTCCCAAGTGCTGCAATTACAGGTGCATGCCACCACACTCAATCTCAATCACCATTTCAGCACGCCCCAGGAACAGTGAACTAACTGTGGTACCTGCATCTGCCCAAGAAGGAGCTTTAATCTACTGAGCTATCTGGCCAGCCCTTAGAAAATCATAAAATCACATTAACTAAAATAAATCAAATGCAATGTTAAACATCATCTCTCCCCTATGAGAAATCCAAAGTAGAAAAAAATTAAAGAAAAAAAAAGTGAAGCATAAACAGAGATTTCTCTTTCATAAATGAAAAAAGAACCAAGTGATGGAGAGAATGGAGGTGAAAGGATATAAAAATAATTAAAATGTGTTATGAACATGTATCATCTCTCCATAAAAATATAAACATAAGGTACTATATATATGTAACTAATATGAACTTGCTTTATTTTTTATTTTATTTTATTTTTATTTTTTTGGCAGTACCAGGGATTGAATTCAGGACCCTTCACTTGCCAGGCAAGCACTTATTCCACTGAGCTATCTCCCTGAGCCCTACATGCAACTATAAAAAGACATAAAAATGATCAGAAAAATAAGACCATAAGACAATCATCACCTTGATGATTTATTTTAAAAGCATTTTAAAAAGCTTAATGATATTAAAGTTTAGATAGCAATTATAAAAAATGTTGTACATTCACTTCATTTATTTAAAAAATGGTAGCGGAATTCTAAATACAGAAAGTAGCTTTAGAGACTACAATTAGTAAGGTTTCCATAGTTATTTGTTTGTATGTATGTTTGTCTACATTTTCTCAAAGGACTTTAAAGCTACCCAATGTGATTTTGCAATTTCAGTGAATGGGTTCATATAATCATTAAAACACATCATTCTCAGATTCATCTTGAATAGGCTCAATTATTAGTTTCCAGGTATGACTAGAAATGTCAGCTATATTTCATGCCTGTTTTCTTATGAAGTCACTAGAAAGAAATAGTTAATAAATTAATTTGTCAAATGCCAAGAATTGTATGAAATAGATATCCATTTATACTTACTGAGACAACTGATGCACCACACAAAATTGTATTGCACTTTAGATTATTAAATATCTATTTGATGGTAGACCATAAAAGAAATAGATCAGAAACCCTCCAGTACCTGAATTTCTTACCAATAGTTTGAAATAAAAATGTCTAGTGTTCAGTAAAGTTAAGGAGATATTTCTTCAAAATGCATAATAAAGGATCATTCTGTTATAAATTTTAAAATAACCCCTTACCCCCCAATCCACATGTTAAAAACAGAACGTATCACTTAAGCAAGGTAGAAACTAAGCTTATATTTAAATATGGATGGATCACATATCATTCTTTGTCAATAAGCACTGCTAGAATTAAAATTAGGCTTGTGGAAAACTTACAAGATGTTTATAAAACTTAAGGAATGTATACAAAGTACCATCACACTCTTTGTATGCTAAATTATGATGGCAATGCCCTCTTTTATAAAAAGAGAAATTAATTACACAAAGAAATGTTTAAAGGCCCTGGTAGGTAGCTCAGCGGTCTAAGTGCCTGTCTAGCAAGTGCAAGGAGCCAGGTTTGATCCCCAGTATCTCATGCTGTTCCGGCCCCATGCGGAGCTGGCCACTGAAACCAAGCATGGTAGTGCACGCTTGTAATCCCAGTGCTGGGAAGCTGAGACAGGAGGATAAATACAGGTCTGACTGCATAGCGAGACCTTGTACCGAATTAAAAACAACAAAAACAGAAACGACATTAGGTTCTGAGCTTTCATTGTCTTACTGAATGTTTCACAAAGGTCTTCTTTTATTTTAGACATTATTTAAGTTTAATGTTTATGCACACAAATAAAATCCAAATCATAAACTCTGAGAGAGTAATTCTACCAATATTTCCCCAAAAACTTTCTGTGCATGAACTTCTACTAAGATATGTGTTATAATGAAAGAATAATTTTTTGTGATATTGCAGACTCGGACATTATTGGAAATTGTTTTAGGTTGACTCTTACAAATCAAAGCTAACATATTACTGTGGTTTGTGAATTCATACTATATGTAAATACTGCAGAAAACACTAATTTGTAAAATAATATTAATAAATGAAAGACACCGAACATCTTTTAATATGCTGAATCAGCAAAATTTAAAACAGGTTTTGTACACTAAAAGTATGTTTTAGTAATGGGACACTCACTGTACGAAGTTAAACAGATGCTACCTTATATTTTGCTTTATAGATAAAAAGTAAATTTAAGTCTGTCAGTTTTGATGTAAAACTTCACCTTTTTGTCTCACTTTTTCAATTTCCTAAAATGAATGACAAGCTTATTTGAAATCACTTATATTTCATCTACAATTATGGAAGAGTGATGCACCCAAAGGAAGAATTATCACTTGCTTTATTTTCCTCTCAAGTATTTAAGAAATTCTCATAAAAATAAACAAATAAAGAAATATTTTCACCATTTAGATGATACAAAAATTTTTTTCCTATGAAAGGGAATAATTATCTCCTGAACTTAATTATTTAATTTTTCATAAACCCATTTTCAATTGCAGTATCTCCCTCTCTCAAAATCTGAGTGAGTTGAATTATGATAAAAGTGGTTAAATTATTTTCAGAATATTTTGATAGTTATAATAAAAATGAAGTTGTAGATAATATTCAAAATAAAAGGCTGCCAAGAAAACTTATACCTATGAAACATTTTTTAAAGTGCTTAATACAAAGCAAGCACTTTTCAAATGCAATAATTATTATAACTAGTTCATTTTAATTTTTATTATCTTCGTTAAGGATAAAAACAATGAAACAAAATTTCAAAACATGACAATAAGAGATTAGCAATGATTGATATATTAAAACCCAGACGCTTAGTTCCTTTTCTCAAGATTTCTTTTTCAAATGAACTTATAAATAGAAAGAATATATTTATATTTATACTAGCATTCACAGAGCACTGTTTATACTAGCATTTGCAGAAAATATGCAACTATTTTGTATTGGTATCACCATACAAATTAGAAAGTTGTTTAGTCCTGTGTAGATGTATAAATAGCTAATATTCTAAGACCCTCAATGTCCTCCTGCCACAGTTCTGAGCTTTCCCTACAACACCATCACTGAGTCACTAATGATTTACCTTGCAGACTAGATATCTTGATTTCAGAGGCCTTTGTCTGTTCTGATTGCTGGATGCCAGTTTTGCACAGAAGCTCTGAAATGTGTTGTGTTTCACTAGTAGAATTACATGATAGTACTACAATTATGTAGAAAATATATGAGAATTAAAAAAAAATATGTGCCCATCTTTATTTAGCATTTAAATTGAGCAAATTAAAAACTCTTTTTCCTCATCTATAACAATGGCCTTAATTCACAGACTATTCAGATTATGAGGCCAAGCACTAAATTATATATATGTCTGCAAGGATATATTGTATAAATAAAAATGAGTTTCACTTGAAAGTGCTATTGATATAGTTTTTATTTTATTTTATAAAGGGTACAAAACAGTATTAGAACAGAAAAATTACAAGTGATACTGTATTCACTTTAAAAATAATATGAATTTTACAGTATTTGTTGTAATGCAGTGTTGTCTTCCAACCAGTTATTCATATAACCAAATATATGCATTGAAATTTGGAAGAAAAAAAGGAAAGAAATATATCAAAAATTAAGAGGAGAAAAAGGAACAACAGTTGATAAAAGACCAAACAAATTAAGCATTATCTGCTCCTTTTCATAGACCAGCAGGAATCCACAGTACAGTTGTCCTAACCACCCTGCTCGCATACATAGATATATCTCTTTCCCACACTCCCTTTCCTATCCTTCTTCTCAACTCAATAACTCTTTCCCCTTTTATATGCCCCATTTAACTGTATGTCAGATTCTTTTGCAAAGCTGGGAAATTTTCTGCTGCTACTTCTGCAAACAGTAAAAGCATGGAACACTTTATAATTTGCATGTCATCCTTGCACAGGGTCATAATAACCTTTTTTGTATCGTTTATATTTTTAGTTTATATGCTGCTGGAGTGAGCACTGGCATTTAATTTTAAGTCTGATTAAAAATACTGAAACTGTGTGTTTTCCTCATAACTTTTCAAAAAAGGTAAAATTCAAGAATTTTAAAATTAAATTTTTGCTAGTGGGTCTGTGAAAATTTCTATATCACATGTAAAAGTAAATGAATTTGTAGATGTATGATATAGATTGAAGATTTATAGCCTGTATCTTATTTCTGTCTTAGTCCCACCAAAATAGGTTATAAACATAGTGTTGTTCCAGGTTGGTGTTCATGTTATAAATTTAAAAATATTTTTCTTTATATTGTCTCTGGATATGTTCAAAGTCAAATACCATTAAAAGAAAAAAATTGTCTTATTAAATAAAACTGTCATATGAATCATAGTGTATTTTCATATTGTAAATATACTTTGCAGAAATTTTCACATTCACCTTTCTTTCTTTCTTTCTTTCTTTCTTTCTTTCTTTCTTTCTTTCTTTTTTTTTTTTTTTTTTTTTTTTTTGCGCCCCTGTTTGGTCTCTGGATATCTGGTCTGAAAATAAAAGATTGCTTCACGCTGCATTAGGAAAGCTAAATAAGTGATTCTTACATGGCACTGAGGTTGAATACTAGATTGTTAGATTTTTAAAAATTGATTTACTTACATGAGTGAGTATGTATTAAAGTGATGTGAATGAAGTTTGAAGATGAAACTACCTTTGGTGTGCAGAGAAAGTTGCTATGGAAAAAATATGAGCAAAGTTGAGCAGGCTGCAGTCAAAGCCCAAGTGCATGGCCCATGGCTATTATTTTGATATGATTAAGAATTTAATGTATATATTTTGAAATGCTATCTTCTGATTGGTGATTTTTTGATGGTTTTATCCATTAGTGACTTGAAATACATTCCTCTAAAGATCCACTTTTACTGTATTCGTATCGTTCTCTCCCTCTTTCTCTCTTTGTACTCTCTTTCTCTCTCTCTCACACACACACGCGCGCGCGCACACACACACACACACACACACACACACACACGCAAGCATAAACACAGTCTCCACTGCTCCAGCAACTTTAGTCTCATTCACAGTTTATCCCACGCTGTGAATGAAATGGCTACACCTGAGTTTCATTTGTAATCACCATTTTCCCAATTTCAAGTTAATTTTCTCCTTTTATTGACTTTTCAAGTGGACAGAAAATTTATTAGAACCAATTTTATCTATGGCTTTCAGGATTCTATAACTTCTATAAGGTCAGAAAAGGCTAATATTGCTTTATTAAAATGAATAAACCCAATTTCCGCAAATGCTTTTTCTCCAATAACATTGATTCTGAGACACTGTGGTGAGTTCCCTCAAGCACAATTATGTTTGAAAGTGCTCACACGTCACCGAAGGGTACAGCATGCTCCAGACGTGTCCACAAACCATAAAAACAGCTGTGGTAGAAAACAAATTGTTTTCCTAGAGTAGATGTTACCATTTCAGACATCTATTGGGTTTTATAGTCACCGATAGTACAACAACTGTAATGCAATTTTCCTCTGTCATAGCTTTTGGCTTCATTCCCATTTAGGTAAAATTAACAGATTTATTTTCTTGTACTTTTTATCTTTGTCTTTCCTCAGGTAGGGTACTATGTTACTATTTTCTTTTTCTCCTACTGATAAAAATCTAATGAAGTCTGAAAATAGAAAATAACACTAAAAGGAGAAAGGAAAATGTTATGATATTACAGGTAAGGTAAAATAATTTGAAGAAACATTAAAATTGTACAAAGTAGAAAAATGCAAATATAGTATTTTTAAAAAACAATTTTGTAAGTGTAGCTTTGTTTTAATTTTGAATATAAACTGTAACATACTTCAGTGTTACACTTTCAAACAAGAGAGATTGCCAATGGATCATTTTTTAAAGGACAGGAGTTTCTAATTTATTGTAAACAAGGGTGTAAAGAAAAATGTGAAATCAAATTAGAAATTATCATTAGTGTCGTGAATATATTTTTCAAATAAATTAATGAGAAATCCATCATCCATCCTGTGTCAAGTATCTTTCTGTATATTAATTTTATTGATAAAGAAGTAGCAATGAGACAGTTTCAAAACAGTTTAGTAAGACAGTTACAATAATTAATACATTGCGTATTGTTATCTTTGTAGTACTTATTCATAGTACTACATGCAGACATGATATCTTGTCGAAACACTATTAGTTCAATAATTTCTTCTCATTTAACTAAGAGAAAGTAGCTTCATATCTATGCTAAAAATTTGTATACACAGATACATTTTTTTCACTACAAAATGGACCTTCATTTATATCCCCTTTTTGTATAGTTTTGTGAAAGATGGGTATTCCATTACCATTCATATATTGTAGGTGCATGAATTCAGCAAGGTAATCCAACATAGTCCAGTAGTCTATAATAGAAGTGAGTTACCTGCATGACTGGCAATGTCAGAAGTTCTTGACTTGATCCTTTTACAGCTCAACATATTAATATGGCTTTGCATTTTATACCTCATTTTTATACTTTACTGCTGGATGGTGAAGACCAGGATAAAATAAGACCTATATAACTAAAAATTAACTTTTTTTATCTGACAAGGTCAGTCAAATCCCCTCAGGATTTACCCTGACACCCTGTACAGCAGTTTGTAGATCTTTTGTCAGCCATATGGATGAGTCACAACCATTGCTTGACCAATCTGCTCTCTGTGAAAGCCTGAGAGACTGTTTTCTCTCCATGTGACTCTCTTTAGACCCACTATACATCATTGATCACTTTCCTCTGTGGCCCCATAATCTCCTTAATTCAAACATTTGGGACATCACTGAGTTACAGGATGTTACAGTACAGGTTCTCTTATGTCTTGAGTCCACACTGACCTCGAAGGGCTAGGGCCATAATCTTGGATATTCTTGTAGACCTTCTTTTTCTCTAACTTTTTGGTCTGAAAGCTTAAGTCGTTAACTCTCCCAAAGAGAAGATTAATGAAATTATTACCCTAAAACATAAATTGTTACACTTAAGAGCACTATCTGTATAAATATCAAATGCCTTATGCATAACTTGGAACAGGTATTTATCAATCATTGATAAGCTAAACTTTAATTCCATACTGAGTCAAGAATCTTTGGAGGTGATCTAAATTCAGTTCTAAAAACGACAGCTATAAGAACCAGTGCCCACACAGAATAGACAAGAGGAGGACTGACTAACAGTGCACAGTCTGCCAAAAGTTTCTCAGCATTCTCTTTCTTGGTCCTTCTCTCACACATACTGCTTTCCAAAAGAAATAAATAATAATGATAAAAACAAATAATAAATAGTAAAGTTGATAAAAATATAACAGTAAGCTGAGGTATTTAGAAAAACAGACTGTGAAGTTTTAAGTAACTCTCTTTTTATTGAGGCTACCATATTTTGTTGGAGCTTCCATTTCAGTACAACTTGACCACCGAGGAAATCACTGTAGAGATTCCTGAAAAAAAAAAAATTGGAAGTCCATTCAGCCCAGCTATTTCTCTTCTGGGTATCTTCCACAATAATACATGTGCATCCATGTTTATAACAGCACACTTTGTAATAGCTGAAACAACCCAAATGCCCATCAACTGAAGAATAGGTTAAAAAAGAGCTGACATTTTACACAATGGAGTACATCTCACACAAAGTAGGATAAAGTTGAGACTTCCATAGGTAAACGGATGCAACCTGGGACCATACTCATAAGTGAAAAAAATAAGATTCATATGTGTAAACAACACATTGTCTCACAGGTAGGAGAAGCTGAACCAGGAAATAGGATCCAAAATGTGCAATAGGTATTGTGAATTGGGAGGAAACTATGCAAAAGAAAAGAGAAACTGTGTTGTAAGAAGAGATGGGTGTTCCATTGCAGTTAGATAAGCTGTATTTGTCCTCTGAATAACTAACCTAAAGACAACAATATGCAATGTATTAATTATTATAACTGTCCTACTAAACTGTTTTGAAACTGTTTCATTGCTATTTTATCTTTTTTCTCATTAAAATGAATAAAAATGTAAAAAAATAGAAAAGAAGGAAGGGAAAAGAAAAAAA